ATCACTACGGAAGTAGATTGCCCAACCTTCCTTCCAAGGAGTGGCTGGTGGGTTTGAACTTCCAGCCTTCTGGTTAGCAGTCAAATGCCTTAGGTACTATGCCACCAGAGCTCCTGTGGTTAAGATTAAGTGAGTCGTTTTACCTATATCTCACAGCCAGCAGCAGATGGCAGCATGTCCACCTTTTTAAAGCAAAAAAAGTTGGCTTTGTTTTTTTTTTTTTGTTGGCTGCTCAATTCTTTTCTTTAGGACGAAGGAGAAGATTTGTGCCTTTGTTTTTCTCACATTTGTCTGTGATCAGCACTCTCTGATTCACTACTACATGGCTTTTCGCAGTGAATTCAAATCCAGATCTATGAATCTTTTTCTCTAGAGGAGAGCCCGTTGCTTTTTGCTTTTGGCTTGTGCAGCATCTAGCAGACCCGCTAGTATAACACGTATAGCACCGAGTACACTGGAGCCCTGTCTGTCAGGATCCCTCATAGATGGAGCCCGGGACTTAGGCTGTGATTTGTCATCTTTGCATCCCTGACACCGACACAGGATGCAAATGCACGTGTGGATATTGACTTGAAGGATGTCCACAAATTTTCTCCCGTTTAATAAAAGCGAAGTATTTTTCTTTTAGAAAACTTAGAAAATGTAGGAAAGGAAAAACAAAAGAAGATTCATTTCCTATGAAGCTACACTTCCCACCCCACTTACTGTATTTGTGATTTGGTTATTTTATTCTGTACATTTATAATTATATGTTTTTATTTCCTTTTATGAAAAGGGGATGGGTATATACATTTAAATTGTTAGGGTGTATGTAATAAAACTTATTAGGTATGTCCTTTGTAAGATGAAGGAACAATTCTAGGCAAAAAAAAGAAATCTCTCTTTTGGAATGATTTATTTCTGTTTTCTAATGCTTCTGAGCACTATTGTAACTTCAAGAGATCTCTTTAAAAATTATAATTTTATTTTAAATCTGCTTATATATATATATGACATATGTTCATTTTAGAAAATTTCTGAAAATATAGTCAGAATGAATTACAAAAAATTTATTATAATTACCCTTTGGCATATTTCTATCCAGTCTTTTCTCCTAGTACTAACATGTGTGAAAACACATGTCCTGTTTTGCTCCTTTATCCGTTCAGTAAGATAACGTTTTTGAATTATTTTAAAAAACTTACGGAAGTTAAAATCATATAAGTTAGCTAAAAGTGACTGTTTCACTGCGTTTAGTACATTCTCAGTGTGTGTAACCACCACCTCTGTCTAGTTCCAGACCATTTCCATCACTCCAAAGTAAAACCCTGGACCCACTGAGCAGTTTCTCTCTGTTTCCCTTTCTCCTCAGCTCCCTGGAAACCACCAGTCTATGTTCTGACTTTATGGATATACCTATTCTGGATATTTCATGTAAATTTAATCATACAGTATATAACTTTTGTGTCTTATTTATGTCAGTCAGCATAATGTTTTGACAGTTGATCCAGGTTTCAGCATGTATCAGTATTTCATTCCTTTATATGGCTGAACATCATTTCATTGTATTGATATTTTACATTTTGCTTATCCATTCATCTGTTGATGGATATTTGGGCTGTTTCCACCTTTGGGCTATTGTAAATAGTGCTATTATGAGCATGTAGTACTTGACTTCCTGTGTTCAATTCTATATGGCTAGGAGTGGAACTAGGAGGTCTGGTAGCATAGTGCCTAAGGCACTTGATTGCTAACCGAGCCACTCCTCAGAAGGAAGATGGGACAATCTACTTCTGTAGTGATACTGCCTCGGAAACCCATGGAGGGGTCGCTATGAGTTGGGTCCGACTCGACAGCACATAACAACAACAACAGGAGTGGAACTGCTGGGTCGTGTGGTGATTCTAGGGAGGATCTCTGGTGGCATAGTCCCTAAGGCTGGCAGTTCAAACACACCAGCCACTCCTCGGAAGGAAGATTGGGCAGTCTACTTCCGTAGTGATACCTCCTCAGAAACCCAAGGAGGGGTCACTATGAGTTGTAATTGAAGCGATGGCAGTGAGTTTGGTTTCTGCTTTATGGTGATTCTGTGTTTAAGTTTTTGAGGAACTGCAGACTTTTCCATAGCAGCTTCACCATTTTACATACTTATCAGCAGTGATTTCTAATTTCTCCACATCTTTGCCTGAACTCCATCAGATATTTGTGATCTTGGCTAGACTCTCACATCTCTGAGGTTTTACTTGAGACAACTGGGCCTGATTCTGTGTTGTCGCTTATGTGCCAGCAGGATAGCTTAGAGTTCTTCACGTGGCAGAGGCCAGGGACCCAAGAGGGCCAACAGAAGCACAGAAGGCCTCTTGAAGCCCAGGTTCAGAATTGGCACAAAAAATCACATCCATTCCATTTTATTGGTCATGGTAAGTTACAAAGTCAGGCTAGAGTCAAGGGAAGGGGAAATGGATGCCATCTCTCAACAGGAGGATCTGCACAGTCACATTAGTGAAGTGGGGATGAAGATGTGGTCATTTGTGCAGTCTATCACAGCTGCAGCTCTGTATTCAGAACCGTCCCCTGGTGTTGCTTTCAGGACTGAACAGTGGTGATGGACCCACCAGCGAGAGTGAGATTTTCCGGAGAGTCTGTGAGCAGCTCGTGAAGTACATGAACTCAGGAAACCAGTCATTGCATAAAAGTTTTCTGAAGCAAGAAATAGTTCAACGGTTCTTGCGCCTACTTTCTTCTCTGCAAGGTAATTTTTGTCACAACCTTCAAATGTGTTAGAGATGATTTATGCTCATTAGAACTCTTTTCTAACATACTTTCACAAGTTAAATTTTAAAAATAACAAAGGTAATATATCTGCATGTAAAACATTCAAATAGCATGGAAGATTCTTCAGTGAAAATTCTGTCATCCACCTCTGAACTTCAGTCCCTAAATCCCATCTGCAGAGTCAACTAGTTCTGTTACTAGGTTCTTAAGTATCCTCTGAAATTACTCTTTGCATATTCAGTCACTTTAAAAAAATAATTAGATTTCCCTCTCTTCTGTAGATATTGGCTAATATTAGAGTATAAAATTATTATATGTTAATTTTTTTTATCATGGGAAAATTGGGAAACTTTCAGAAAAGAAGTAGAAACTTTACATAATCAGGGAAGATTCCAGCAATCTTAAGTAAGTGAAACTTAGCATTTGTAAAATTGACAGTCTATAGACTGATAAAGAACTCAGACTGTTTGTAGGGCTGAATGGCTCAATTTTACAAAGAAGGCAGGATGGTTTCGTTAGAGCTTTTAAGGGTATGCAACAGACTGTACTGGTTAAGGCTTGGAGTTTTACATTCAAGTCTTAGCTCTACCACTTACCGAATCAGTGACCTTGGGCCAATTGCTGCAGTTTCTTCATCTCTGTTTTAGTTTGAGAAACTAACCTCATGAGAAATTGATTAGAGCACTTAGTCCTGTGTCCAGCAAAGAAATTGCTAATACATGTTAGTCATTAGGGTGGGTTGAGATGAGGCTAGGTTTGCCATGCCAATCTTTCTTTCTTGGATACAAGTACTCAAAGATAAACGCACCCAAGACTCTGGGATGGGGGCACCTCATGTGGGATCTTTAAATGAGGGTCACCCTGTGCAAACCACATCTAGGGAACCTTTGCCTTTTGGACTTCATATGATCTGATTCATGAGCCGTGAAGACTGTCCTGAGCTGTGAAAATAAAACATAAATTGTTGGTGTTTGGTAAAAATCTCATAAGAAGCCAGTAGATGGGAATGTTACTTTTGGAAATTCTTAAGGTCTTTTTATGTCTTATACTCTGTACTCCTGTATTTTATTTGTTTCTTTCTGGGTGTTTTTGTGTGTTCGTGTGGGTCTCTCATTTGCTCATTTTGGTTAATTTACTCTCCAAACATTTACCTCTGTTCCTTGCCATTTGTATCTCTCCTGAAGGTCTTCCCTCAACTCTCTTCTGGTGTCTCGAATCTACTTGTTTGCCTTTTTCTCCTCTCTGTATTTTCTCCTTTTCTTTGCTCTTTGACACCTAGATCAATCATATGAGAGGAGAAGTAGAACTTTTCCTGTTGGAAATGATAAAAAAAGAACAACAACAGACTCAAGTTGGATTTAATTGGCAAAAAAGTGACTTTTGGCACAGCTAGATTCAGGAATCTAGCCCTGTTTATCAGCAGGACCCAGTGTCTCCTATCCTTCCATTCACCTGTCCCTCTATTTGGCTTCTACCTCAGAATCCCTGTGAGACAGGATAGCTACCAGCTGATACAGGTTTCTAACCTCCGACTTTGGGCAGCATTTCTGGACCTATGGACCTATCTCTCTTAGTGGTTTGAACAGTCCTAGATCTCACTTTTGGTCATAACATGGACTCTTGAACCAATACTGTGGTCAGGGGATGGAGAGTCCTGATTGGCTTAGGCCCAAACCATATGTGCTGGCCCCATCCCTACCATATGGAATGGACAGTGGTAGAGAGAGAGAGTGCTTTCGCCAGAAGACAAGTGGGGACAAGAATCGCAGATGTCTATTACAAACATTTATATTTTACTGATTCCTGTTAAAATAATATGCTAGAACAACAGCCTATATTTATAGTTTGTTTTTAATTTTAAAAGGAATTTTAAAAGCAAAAATGAGCAAATGTCAGTCATAATGCTTTTTATTTATGTAGCCCTTGATATCTTCCCTTTCTTCTTTTCCTTCCTTTTTTCTTACTAGTAGGCTTGCCAGATAAAATACAAATACAAAATATTGCATAGACATACTATAAAAAAAATTGTTATCTGAAATTCAAATTTAACTGGCATCCTGTATTTTTATTTGCTATATTTGGCAGTCTTTTTACTGAATATCTATTTACAACACTTTCCACCTTTAATATATAATAAAATTATGAATTATAGTAACCATTATCCTGTGTTCAGACACCAGAGGTCATGTGGAAACCACATATGTATCATGATATAAAATTAAGAATTGGGGGATAAACCGTCTTCTCATCATGACCCAACAGCTCTTGACTTTTTAATTAAACTCTCTAGTATTTTTGACTATTTACCTGTATTTCCCTGTTCTTAAGCAGACCACACTATTGACATTCTGCAAAGTTTTAGCCAGCCTTTCCCCTTGTGATTTCAGTTGAATACACTGAAGTCAGGTATTCAGGCTTATAACACATTGTCATGTTGATTGCCTCCTGGGCTGGGTTCTGGACTCTCCAGACAGTATTTGTAAGCCTCTGAGGTCAGTGTTCATACTGATGATGTTCATGAATGGTTAAGTAACTTGCCCAAAGTAAGTAATTTACTTGTTTGTAGTTGCCCCAGTGTTTGAAAATACTGGTCTGAAATCTGTGTTAATTATATGCATATGTCTTACGGGTTGAATAGAAATCATATGAACCTTTTTTGGTGTGTGATCTCTTCTTTTTTATTAAAGAAATTCCTCCTGACCTGGTCTGTGACATTAATCCTGACTGTGCCAACACCTTCATCAAATTCTTACTGGCAAAACAGAAGTGGCCCGAAGTCCTTCTGCTGTTGACCCGCAAAGCGAGCGGGGTGCCACCATTTGGAGAATGTCTCATCAAAGACTGCAATCTCTCAGACCTTGACATCTGTGCCATCATCCCACACCTCAGGAGCTGGGACCACCGGAAGACGCAGCTCCTGGGCCGCCTCATAGACAGTGGAGGTGAAAATGCCTAGATGATAAACACTGGAAGGTTGTCCAGGCTAGGGGGTCCAGGACGCTGCACATTGCGCGGTCTTCCCCTTGCTTTTGGAGACTCCTTGAAGTTCTGCCTCATACTGTCCTCCGTGTCTTCTTGTTTTGGGATAGTGACATGGATTAATGCTCTGATAGTGGGTGTTGGGATCCCTGGTTTGGACTCGACCACTAACCTAAAGGTGTCACAGAAGACAGGCTTGGTGATCTGCTTCCGTAAAGATTACATGCAAGAAAACCCTATGGAGCAATTGCAATCTATAATACATGGGGTCACTGTGAGTCAGAATTAACTTGATGGCAACAGATTTGTTTTTTTTTAGTGGATCTTGCCCTATAGGAGCTCTGCATTTTTGTGAATTCTAGTTACTATTACTGTCTTCTCTTCCTCTGTTGTGTGCAAAATCAGGTATGTGGAGGGCCCTCTGCTCTGGTTTAGCCCACAATGGTCATTTCCTTCTGACCTCCATCTAGATTTTTCCCTGCACTTGATATGCTGTGTGTGTCCTTGTCACTTTCAGGGGCCTTCTTTTCTAAGCAGTAGATTGGGATTTGAGATGCTTATTTTTAAAGCAACAACCAAATAATTGGTGGGTGGAAACATCTGCTGCTTTAATCAGGATGATCACACATGGCTGGGTTTGTGTCTGGAGTGTGAAGACTGTAGTGCTGTATTGGGTTTTATTTTAAAATTTATTTAGAAACACCAACTTTCTTCTGCCCCCACCTCTGCTAATGCCATTACTAACTATATGGCCTTGGGCATGCTATTTATGCCTTTGTCTCATTTATAAAATGGAAATGATAGTAGTTTCTATTTCTTATGGTTGTTGTGAATATTAAATGAGTTAATGTATGCAAGCTTTTGGATGAATGCCTTGGCTGTGTGGTTTTCTGCTCACTTTGCCATTTAAGGGGAAATATCCTTCATCAGGAGTGAGAACATATTGATCCTCATCTCTCAAAGTGCCATAATGCAAAGCTTTCAGGTGTTGGCTCCACCCAAGACTTTTGAGAGGAAGAGAAAAAGCCTTCTATGACTTATTTTTCCAAACTCAGTTCTTTATGTGGAGTATTACTTCTTTTGCTCAGGTCTATTAGGGAATTCCTGTTTTATTCTTTGATCTAGCACAATGTATAGAGCTCCTACCAGGGATAGTGCTAGAAACCAAGGCCTCAGAGGTGAATGTGTGGCTGTTGGAGGGAGGCATGCATAGTAGGGCTACTTGTGGAGGAGGCCAAGCCTGTAGTATACAGTGATGCATGAACCAAGCTAAAAAGCAGGTGATGTGGAGGTGGAGAGGTGTCTGGGAGGATGGCAGTTGAGGGTAGACATCCATTTTAAGGTAGAAGTTAGTAGAAGCAAAGAACATAGGAAGCAGCACTCATACCCTGTGACCAACCACATGTCAAGTATCATGTTAGGCAAGGACTGGACTTTGAATTTTTCACATACCCTGTGCTCACTCTAGGAGAAGAATGCTTATGGTGGGCACTGTGTTCTTTGTGTTGGGACAAGAGGGGCAGCTGGGGAGGTGGGAGGGGCAGGGACCATGAACAAGACATTCAAAGGAAGTAGGCTTTTACCCTGAGGGTATTGGGAACCCTTTGCCTTCCAGGAAGGTTGATGGTAGGAGGGGCTTGGAAGTTATGGTCAGCATCTGCTCTTCCCTTGGAACTAAATGGTAGAAGTGGTCCCTCTCACTTTCCAGTCTGTCCTCTTCACAGGAATGTGGCTCACAGGGCCATTCTCTTCTCCCTTTCTCCAGCTTTGCCTGAGGGTCTCCAGAAGAGCCAGGAGAGCCCGCTTGCTATGTGCCTGAAACATGAGGACTTTGAGTTGGCTTTTCTTCTCTTGACCAAGGGTGCAGACCCCCATGGCATTTCTTTCACGGAAGGTGATACGCCTTTACATGCAGCGCTCCACATCTTTTTAGATATAAATGGTAAGCACTTAGGTATTAAGCAGTCTTTTCCTTGACAAGGAAGCTGGATATTAGAATTAATGCTGTGTTTTTGGTCTTTCATTTTGGGAAAAGAAACACCAATGATCTAAACAAGGCTCATTTCTTGGCTAGACCAGTTTGTATGTCCTGGCCTGTAACACGTAACTTAATGGGATAAAGTTATCATCATGGTAAATAGTCAGGTGGGTTGATTAAGAAAGCTTAAGTCCCAAAGTTGAATGTCAGCAGCTGACAAATACTTTCTATTTGTTTATACCCTTTTTGAAGTACCTGGCATAAAGGATCTTACTGGAATGTTACAAGGCTTTTCAGGGTTTCTCAGCCTTGGCACTATTGACATTTAGGGCTGGATAATTCTTGGTTGTGGGATGTGCTATAGGATGTTTAACATTGTCTCTGGCCTCTATCCACTATATGCCAGGAGAATCCCCCTCAGCTGTGACAATCAAAAATGTCTCCAGATGTTGCCAAATGTTTCTTGGGGGCCAAAATTGCCCTTGGTTGAGAACTCCTAGGTTATTTAATGGGTATCTAATGCCTGGGGATGTTCCATGTTCTGAGATGCCCCCGCCTCGCATCTCTTTCAAGTCCAGGGATAGTCTTTCCTCTGAGAAGAGTGGCTCACTACTTACAGGGTCTTGTTTCTGTCTTTCAGGTGACATTGGCTTTAACTTCCTCAGGCACCTGTTGGATCTGTTCTGTTCCAACCCCACTGAATTTTACTACCTCAATCCCAACATCCAGGACAGCAGTGGGAACACAATGATGCACATACTCTTTCAGAAGGGCATGCTGAAGCGCATGAAGAAGCTGATAGACCTGCTGGTAAAGTTTGATATCAACTTCAACTTGAAGAACAAAGAGGGCAAAGATGCACGGCACCGGGTTAAGAAGAATGATCCTCTGCTTTTGGCCTGGAACAAAGCTCTGACGGAGAACAGGCGAAGGAACCGACAGGACTCTGCTGCTCACCTTGGAAAGCTCCCGAGGTCCACCACTCCTGGCCATACGTCTCAGCTCAAGTCTCAGGGTTCATTCAAGTCAGCGCCATGTAGTGTTACTTCTGGGACCCTGCCAGAAGGAGCTGTGGTCCCTGACAGCTGGGAGACTGTCCTTGATGCCCAGGTGACAAGGGGGGGGACTGGAGGCTTCAGACCATGCTCACTGAGAGACCATCTCATACAGGACATCATGATTTTGATTCAGCAGGTTAAATTGGATCCATTCCTCCAAGAGGACTGTCTTCAGTGTGCCAAGCCTCTGGTGGCAGAAGCAGGCACCGGAGTAAAAAAAGATGAGTTCCAGCGAACCCCAGCTATAGGGAATTCTGACTGTAGTGGAAATAGTTCTGCCCTCTCCGAGGCACAGGAAGAACATACTCAGGCAAACGTTGGGGCAACACAGCTTGTTCCTGTTGTTAACAGAGGGAAGATGGGCAGCGAGAATCAGGGAGACTGGAGCGTGCCGGACATTGAGGCTTGCTTCCAGGACTTTGACAACATGACTTGGGAGATCGAGTGCACATCAGAAGTGCTGAAGAAACTCTCAAGTAAGGCAGTGACCAAGATCATGAAGAAGAAGGTCATCCTTGCCATCCAGCATCTGGGGAACGGTGAGTGGACGCAAGGCCTGCATAAGCGGCTAAAGTACTTGAAAGGAAACATCCAGCTCTTTGAAGCAAGGTTGGACAAAGGAGCCCGGATGCTGTGGGAACTCGCCATTGACTTCTCCCCTCGATGCAGTGAGAACCCAGAGAAGGTCATTGTCACAGAGCAGAATGTGCACTCTGTGGAGAAGTCAGGGCGGATCTACACAGAAATCATCCGGATCTGGGACATTGTCTTGGATCACTGCAAACTATCGGATTCCATCAGGGCCATCTGCAATGCCTACAACCGAGGCCTATCCTGTGTTCTGCGGAAGAAGCTGAAGGGTATCAACAAAGGCCAACTGTTTGCCAACGTGAAAATCCAGAAGCGAATACCCCAGTGCTATGTGGAGGACACAGAGGCACAGAAGGGCAGGGAGTGCATGGAACCTGAGTACTTTCCGCCAGCAAGTGCGGTGGAAACAGAGTACAACATCATGAAGTTCCACAGCTTCAGCACCAACATGGCCTTCAACATCCTCAATGACATGACAGCGACAGTGGAGTACCCCTTCCGGGTGGGTGAGCTGGAGTACATGGTGATCAACCTCAACCCCAAGCCACTGGAGCCCATCATCCTCATTGGGCGGAGTGGCACTGGGAAGACAACTTGCTGCTTGTATAGGCTGTGGAAGAAATTCCACATTTACTGGGAGAAAGCAGAGCAGGCAGGGAGTCCATTGCTGGCTAAACAAATCTGGCTGAAGAGAAGATTGGAAATGGAACCTGGAAAAGAGGGTCCAGATTGGGAGGAAAAGGAGATGGAGGACGAGGACAAGGAAGAGGAAGATTCAGTTGAGGTGGAAACAGTAGACAGCATAGACAAGGAGGAGGAGAGTGATGCTGGTGCTGAGGGACCTGCCACAGAGCTGCCAGGATACAGCCGAGCAAAGGAAGTCTGTGTGCAAGATTGTCCCTCTCAGCTGGAGCATCTACATCAAATCTTTGTTACCAAGAACCACGTTCTGTGCCAGGAGGTACAGAGGAATTTCATTGAGCTTTCCAAGTCTACCAAGGCCACCAGTCACTATAAACCCCTGGAGCCCAATGTTCACAAACTCCAGGACCTAAAGGATGAGAACTTTCCTCTGTTTGTCACTTCTAAGCAGCTGCTCCTTCTGCTCGATGCTTCTCTACCCACTCCATTTTTTCTGAGAAATGAAGATGGTAGCTTAAAAAGAACCATCACAGGGTGGTCCACACAGGAGGAATTAACCATCCCCAATTGGCAGGAGGATGAGGAGGAGATGGAGGTGGACAGAGAAAATGGTGAGGAAGAAAAAGCTACAGAAGCTCGCATGGGTGACAGCGACCCCCGGGTATATGTGACGTTTGAGGTCTTCATCAATGAAATATGGCCCAAGATGACCAAAGGGAAAACTTCCTACAACCCTGCACTGATTTGGAAAGAAATAAAGTCTTTTCTGAAAGGATCTTTTGAGGCTCTCAGCTGCCCACAGGGAAGACTTACTGAAGAAGCATATAAGAAATTAGGGAGGAAACGGTCCTCCAATTTTAAGGAAGATCGGAGTGAGATCTATGACCTATTCTGCCTATATCAGCAGATCAGGTCCCAGAAAGGTTATTTTGATGAAGAGGATGTCCTGTACAACCTGTCCCAGAGGTTGTCGAAGCTCAAGGTGCTTCCATGGTCCATCCACGAGCTCTATGGTGATGAGATTCAGGACTTCACCCAAGCTGAGCTGGCATTGCTGATGAAATGCATCAATGACCCCAATGCCATGTTCCTCACTGGGGACACAGCCCAGAGCATCATGAAGGGTGTGGCCTTCCGCTTTAGTGATCTGTGTTCCCTGTTCCATTACGCCAGCAGGAGTAACGCAGACAAACAGTGTGTTGTCCGGAAGCCCAAGAAGATCCACCAGCTGTACCAGAATTACAGGTCCCACTCAGGTAGGTCCAGGCCGTGGGACAGGACACTTGGGCACTGACCCTGGGCTACTTTTGAAGGTGTGGACTTGCTTTCATTAGGCTTTTGCAGCTGGAGTAAGGATAGTATTTTGTTAGCAAATACATTCAAGAGCAAGAGATTTCATGATTTCTGCCACTGCTCATTCTTAAGTTGGTAATTCAAGCTGTGGTTGGGTAGAAAATGTACCTTTAAATAATTGTATCTTAAAGAGTTTGGCATGACATGAAAACATTTCAGGGGAACGTTTAAATGGTTTGAGAACTTTTGTTAAAGCGTTTTGGAAGCACCTGTTTATTCTATAAACTAATTGTAAAATTAGCATTATAAATCCTTGATCCTTAAAGCAGTATATCTCCCAAGGGGAAGCAAAAAAGAGGGGTGGGAGGTGGTGGGAAGTAGATATTTAAATTTAGTTAGATCTTTAATCTGTATAAAATGTGGTTTGGTGTGAAATCCTTTTTATTAAAATAACTTTCCAGTGACCTAATTTTACTTTTTTCCATATGGATAATCAATGTGTCTTTACCATTTACTTCATAGTCCACTCCTTTTAACAAACACAAATTCAACATACTTTCATTTTGTACCTCAGATGTGCCCCTTCTCTGTGCCAAGTATATGTTAAGCAGTTCATATATAGCTGTTTTGCTGCTTGTCCTCAAGTTGATTCTAGTTCATCCTTTACTTAATCCTCACAACAATCCTAACACCAAAAAATCAAACTTTTTGTCTTAAGAGTTGACTGTGACTCTTAGTGACCCTGTGGGACAAAGTAGAACTGCCCCATAGGGTTTCTAAGGCTGGTGAAGCCCTGGTGGCTCAGCATTTTAAGAGCATGGCTACTAATTGAAAGGTTGGTGACCTACAGAATCACTATGAGTCAGAATTGACTAGGTGGCAATGGTTTTTGTTTTAGTTGAAACTTAACTGATGAACCAGGGCTCCTCACAACAACCCTATAAGGTAAGTATTATTTTCACTTTACAAAGGAGGAAACTGAGGAAAGAAGGTTTAAATAACATGTCAGCAATGCCAGAGTGCTTTCTTTATGGTCTGGAATTGTCGTAAAAACCAAAATGTCGCCGGTTCCAACCCACTTGCAGTTCCATGAGAGTAAGATGAGGCAGTCTGTTCCTGTAAAGATTAGAGCCTTGGAAACCCTATTGTGGCATTTCTGCTCTGTCCTGAAGGGTTGCTGTGAGTTGGAATCCACTTGATGGCAGTAGGTTTTGTTTTTTTGGTTTTATACCCTACATATGTCCATAAAAATATGTAGTATTGTTTTACATGTTTAAAAACTGTTTAATGGCATTGTGCGAGATACATCTTTCTCCAGTTTTGTATTTTGCTTAATGTTGTGTTTTTGAGATTTCCACATGTTAATAATGGAGTTCTAGTTCATGCATTTCTAACTACCATTAGTATTCCATTCAGTGACTGTACCACATCTGTTTATCCATGTTCCAGTGATGGACCTTAGATTCCTTCCAGTTTTTTACTATGACATATAATCCGAGGGTGAATCTTCCTGAACAGATCTCTTCAGATGTACGTTATATCCTCAGACTTGTTCACTCCTGCTTTATTCTCATGGTGGCTGTGAAGCAATAACTCCTTGTCTTAATTTTCATTTCCCAGGGGTTCAGCATCTTTTCGTGTTTACTGGCCATTCTGTATTCTGCTGTGAATTTCCTATTCTTATCCTTTGCCTACTTTTTTAGTGAGTTGTTTTTCTTCTTGATTGGTAAGAATTCTTTAAGAATTTTGCCTTCACAACCTTTTTTGATTATGTAGTTTCTTTTCCCAATTAGGTGGCTTGTCTTTAAACTTTGCTAATTGTGTTCTTAAGGAGCTCTGGTGGCACGGTGCCTAAGGAATTTGACTGCTAACTAGAAGTTGGTGGTTCAAACCCACCAGCCACTCCACAGTCTACTTCTTTAAAGATTTGTTGTTGTTATGTGCCTTCGAGTCATTTCCAACTCATAGTGACCTTGCGGACAACAGAACGAAACACTGCCTGATCCTGTGCCAGCCTCACTATCCCTGCTATACCTGAGCCCATCGCTGCAGCCACCCTGTCTGTCCATCTCATTGAGGGCCTTCCCCTCTTTCGATGACCCTCCACTTTACCAAGCATGACATGCTTCTCCAGAGAATGGTCCCTTCTGACAACGTGACCAAAGTAGGTGAGACGAGGTCTGGCCATTCTCACTTCCAAGGAGCATTTTGGCTACACTTCTTCCAGGGCAGATTTGTTGGTTCTTTTAGCAGTCCATGGTACTTTCAGAATTCTTCACCAGCACCGCAATTCAAAAGCATCAATTCTTCTTTGGTCTTCTTATTCATTGTCCAGCTGTCACATGCATATGTTGTTGTTGTTGTTATGTGCCGTCAAGTCAGCCCTGACTCATAGCGACCCCTCCTTGGGTTTCCGAGGCAGTATCACTACAGAAGTAGGATTGCCCAACCTTCCTTCCGAGGAGTGGCTGGTGGGTTTGAACCGCCAGCTTTCTGGTTAGCAGTCAAGTGCCTTAGCCACTATGCTACCAGAGCTCCCTATGAGGCAATTGCAAATACCATGGCTTGGGTCAGGTGCATCCTAGTCCTTAAGGAGGTATCTTCACTCTTGAGCACTTGAAAGAGGTCTTTTGCAATATATTTTGCCCAGTGCAGTATGTCTTTTGATGTCTTGACTGGTGCTTCCATTGGTATTGATCATAGAACCAAGTAATATGAAATCTTTGACAACTTCAGTCTTTTCTCCTTTTATCGTGATGCTGCTTATTGGTCCAGTTGAGAGGACTTTTGTTTTCTTTATGTTGAGGTGTAATCCATACTGCAGACTGTAGTCTTTAATTTTCAGTTAGTTCTCTAAGTCCTCCTCACTTTCAGCAAGCAAAGTTGTGTTGTCTGGATATTGCAGGTTGTTAGTAAACCTTCCTCCAATCCTGATGCCATGTTCTTCTTCATATAGTCCAGCCTCTCAGATTATTCGCTCAGAATACAAGTTGAATAAGTTTGGTGAAAGGATACAACTCCCTTCCTGATTTTAAACCATGCAATATCTCCTTGTTGTGTTCGAATGACAGCCTCCTGGTTTATGTACAGGTTCCTCATGAGTACAATTAAGTGTTCTGGAATTCCTATTCTTCTCAAAGTTATCCATAATTTGTTATTGTCCACACAATCTAACGCCTTTGCATAGTCAGTAAAACACAAGTAAACATCTTTCTTGTATTCTTTGTTTTGAGCCAAGATCCATCTGACATCAGCTATGGTATCGCTCCATGTCCCCTTCTGAATCCAGCTTGCATTTCTGGAAGTTGCCTGTCAGTTTACTGCTGAAACCATTTTTGAATGATCCTTCAGTAAGATTGTACTTGGGTGTGATATCAGTGGTATTGTTCGATAATTTCCACATTCTGTGGGATCACTTTTCTTTGGAATGGATACATTCCATTCCATGGATCTCTTCCAGTCAGTTGGCCAGATAGCTGTCTTCCAAGTCTCTTGGCATAGCCGTGAGTGCCTCCAGTGGGGCATCCATTTGTTGAAACATGTCAATGGGTATTCCATCAATTCCCGGAGCCTTTTTTTTCACAGTACAGCTTTGACTTCTTCCTTCAGTGCCATTGGTTCTTGATCATGCCACTTTTTGAAATGGATGAAGATTGACCAGTTCTTTTTGGTACAGTGACTCTGTGTATTCCTTCCATCTTCTTTTGATGTTTCCTGCATCATTCAACATATTCCCCATGGAATCTTTCAATATTGCAATTCGAAGCTCAAAGTTTTCCTCAGTTATTTCAGCTTGAGAAATGCCAAGCATGTTCTTCCTTTTTGGTTTTCTAACTCCAACGCTTGGCACATTTCATGATAATAATTGACTTAGTCTTCTCAAGCTGCTCTTTGAAATATTCTGTTCAGTTCTTTTATCTTGTTGATTCTCCCATTTGCTTTAGCTACTCTCCGGTCTAGGGCAAGTTTCACGAGTCTCCTCTGACATCCACTTTGGTCTTTTCTTCCTCTCCTGTCATTTTAATGACCTTTTGCTTTCTTCATGGATGATGTTTGTGATAATTGGAGCTGTGTGTCAACGTGGCTGGACCACAATTCTGTGTGGTTTAAGCAGTTGTGATGTGGTTATTCCCATGATGGGATCAGATGAATATGTTTTGAGCAGCCAATCCGTTAAAAGGGAGTTTCCCTGGGGGTGTGTCCTGCTTCCAGTATATTTATGGACATCCTGGGAAAAGAGACACTCTTCTGTGGATCAGGATTCTTTTGTGCTGCCTACAACCAAATTTTGTCCATGAGTGAACAATCTACCATTCGGCCTGGAGATCTTGGATTTGTCATTTGTTGGAGTCAACAGCCAGTACATTGCCTGCCAGCCTTGAGCTCATCAGCCCCTGATGCTGCGTGAGTTGGGAAAAACCTCCAGCTTGACGTTTGATCCAAGAACTTGGGACTTGTCAGCTTCTATAAGTGTGTGAGGAGCTCTGGTAGCATAGTGCCTAAGGCACTTGACTGCTAACCAGAAGGCTGGTGGTGCAAACCCACCAGCCACTCTTTGGAAGGGAGATGGGGCAATCTACTTCCATAGTGATACTGCCTCGGAAACCCAGAGAGGGGTCACTATGAGTCGGGGCCGACTCGATGGCAAATAACAACAACAACAACATAAGTGTGTGAGCCATTTTCCTAAGATAAATTTTTTTTTTTCTCTCTCTCTATAAGCTTTCCTGGTTTTGCTTCTGTAGAGAACCCAGCCTAACATAATCACCTATGGTGGACACATTTCAGCAGAGATTCCAAACTAAGACAGAGTAGGAAGAAGGACAGGGCTATCCACTTCTGAAAAATTTGGCCACTGAAAACCTTATGAATAGCAGTGAAACATTGACTGATGGTCTGATGGGCAGTGAATAAGGAAGACTGAAGAAGAATTAAGGCATTTGAATTGTGTTGGCAAAGAATACTGAAAATACCATGGACTGCCAGAAGAACAAGCAAATCCATCTTAGAAGAAGCACAGCTGGAATATTCCTTAGAAGCAGGAATGGCCAGACTTTGTCCCATGTACTTTGATCACATTGTCAGAAGGGACTAGTCTCTGGAGAAGTGTATCCTGCTTGGTAAAGTAGAGGATCAATGAAAAAAGGGAAGACCGTCAACAAGATGGATTGACACAGTGGCTGCAACAATGGTTTGAGCATAACAGATTGTGAAGAATGTGCAGGACAGGGTAGTTTCTTGTTCTGTTGTACATAGGGTCTCTATGGGTCGGAACCAACTTAATGGCATCTGACAGCAACAGCAACAACATGTTCGTGAGGGATATTACTACTTAAATATGTGTGTATGTACGTATGTATGTATGTGTGTATTATTTAGTAGTGTCTTTGGTTTCAGTATCAGGGTGATGTTTGCTTCATAGAATGAGTTTGGGAATATTGCATCCTTTTCTATGTTATGGAATAGTTTGGCTTGTATTGGTGTCAGCTCTTTTCTGAATCTTTAGTAGAATTCACTAGTGGAGCTGTGTGGGTTAGGACTTTTATTTGCTGGGAATTTTTTTTTTTTTATAGACTGTTAAATTTTTTCTCTTAAGATGTTTTTTCTTTTCCAAAATTTCTACCTCAGATTGTGTTAGTTTTGGTTGGTAATGTATTTCCGTAAATCTATCCATTTCTTGGTTTTCTAATTTGTTGAAGTACAGTTCTTCATAGTTCTTCTGTTATTATCCTTTTTATTTCAGTTGGTTCTGTTGTTACATCACCTATTTCCTTTCTTATTCATATTATTTACATGTTTTCCTTCGTTTGCCAGTTATTTGTCAATTTTTGAATTCTTTCAAGGAACCAACTTCTAGTCTTGTTGATTCTGTTATTTTTCTGTTTCTTTAATTTCTTCATGGATCTTTATTATTTCCTTTCTTCTGATGACTGTAGGTTTTTTTGTTGCTCATTTTATAGTTGTTGGAGATGTGTGGAAGTGTTGATTTTAGGTCTTTCTTCTTTTTTGATGTGTGCATTATTACTGTAAATTGTCTTCTGAGTACGGCTTTTGCTGTATCCCAAAGGTTTTGGTAAGTTGTGTTTTCATTCTCATTTGGTTCAAGGAATTTGTTATTCTTTCTTTTACTCAGTAGTTTTTAAGCAGGGTATTATTCAGTTTCTAGGTATTTGACTTTTTTCCATGCTTTTCTTGTTGTTGGTTTTTAATTTTACTGTGATCTGAGAAGATTGTTTTGTAGCATTTTGATGTTTTTAAATTTATTGAAGCTTACTTTCTGGCCTCACATATGGTATGTTCTGGTGAGATCAAATAATAATAGAGAAAGAGGTGGGGATGATGAAGAAAAAAGAATAGAAAGAAAAAATAAGGAAGGGGAAGAGGGAAGAACTAAGAGGAAAGTGAAAAGACAGGTGAAAAAAAGAAGCAGCATAGTACTAGTGCAAGGGCTAGCCACTAAACACAGCTGCTGTGGGAATGAAGTACTTGTTCTTTGAGAGCATATACCACTGATTGCAGAGGGATAAGGGAAGGCACTGCTGATTGTGGAAGTAGTGGTGCCCCTGTTCTGTAGGATCCAACAAAAGGGAGGAGTAGAAAAGGAGCAAATGAAAGGAAAAAGAAAGAGGAGGGAAGGGGAAAGAACTAAGAGAAAAGAAAAAGAAAGAAAAACACAGTACTGGCAATGAGGAGTGGGTTAACCAGCTGCTGGGTGGGTGGTGGGTCATGCCTATGGTCACCGGGAGTTTGTGCTGATCGCTGGTGTAGATGTGTAGTCCTAGCGGATCAGACAGTAGTCTGGTTCCTACCCAAATTGGAATGCTGCTTGCAATAATTCAAAATGGCCACTCTGTGACAGACCAGTTGGCAATTCACCACTCTGTGTGCCTCCCTGTTTGATGTTTTTGTTCAGTATCTTCCTCTAATTGGTATTTGATCTTCTTTATCCTTTCCTTTATAGCTCTAGGTTCTAGAATTGTCACCTGTATACGTTTCACTTGGTTTCTCAGATCTTTGTGGTAGAGGATCTGGACAGTACAGCTGCCTAATTCACCATTTTGGATCCTCCTCCAAGAAAATATGCTCTTAGTCACAAATACTAGCCCTTCCTTCATTAATTCAGGAAACATTAATTGAACTCTTACCCTGCCTGGCAGTGTGTGGGAACTGAGTGGATGAGATGCACAGCTCCCATTTCTTTGTCTTCAGGAGTGGCTCCTGCTGGCATCTCCTTTTTGGTAGAGCAGACTTGACATGCTAATTGCACAAGCTTCTTATTCTGAAGTGTCCCTCTGGTTAAAAGCCATTAATCTAGAGGAAAAGCAGGATAGAACATGGTAAAGGAGGTTGTGGTTGTGAAGAGGTTCCCCCCCCCCCTTTTTGAAAATGTGCTTAGTAACCTACTCAGACAATTACTACATGAATCCTACGTCCCACCTTCCCTCTTGAGGTGGAGGGAAGAGTGTGTGTGTGTGTGTGTTTCTATGTGTGGAATTAGAAAAAGCCCCTTAGGCAGTATGCCACCAGAGCTCCAGTGCTAGATTTTAGAGACTTTAGAAAACATATATATATTTTTAAATGCAAACAATCTATATCGCCAGTCACTGGTAACATTTTATTTTATTTCCTTCTAATCTGTTTTACTTGAATGTTTATCATATGCATTTATCATGTATATATACGTATTGATTATTCAGTGACTATATGCCTAAGGCATTTGACTGCCAACCAGAAGGCTGGCGGTTCAAACCCACTGGCCATTCCTCAGAAGGAAGACTTGGGCAATCCACTTCTCTAGTGATACTGCCTCAGAAACCCAAGGATGGGTTGCTATGAGTTGGATTCAACTAATGACAGTGAGTTTGGTTCTTCTGGTTTTATTGACTATGTTTAAGGATCTCTGGTGGTATAATGGGTATGACATTTGGCTGCTAACCAAAAGGTTGGTGGTTCAAACCCACCAGCTGCTCCATGGGAGGAAGATGATGAGGCAGTCAACTTCCATACAGATTTATAACATTGGAAACCCAATGGAGGTTGGCATGAGTCGGAATCAACTCAATGGCAGTGGATTTGGCAGTGTTTAGTGAATATTTCCTTCATCTGTTATTTTTGAAAATTGAGATGTAATTCACATCTTAAGATACTTAAGATTCACCCTCCTAAAGTATACAATTCAATGTTTTTTAGTATATTCACAGAGTTATACAGCCATCACCACTATCTAATTTTAGCACATTTTTTACTAGCCCAAAAAGAACTTCCATACCTGTTAGCTGTCACGCCTATTCTCCTGTCTCCTCAGTCTCTGGCAACCACTAGTCTCCTTGCTGTCTCTATGCATTTGCCTACTCTGGACAATTCATATAAAGGGAATCACACAATATGTGGCCTTCTGTGATTGTCTTCTTTCATTTGGCATAATGTTTTCAAGGTTCATCCATGTTGTAGTGTGTAAATCTTCGGCCTTTGCTAACTCTTGGTGGGGAGGGGAACTCAGTAACAGCTGATTTGTTTATATTCAGTAGTTCCCACTTGTGTTCATCATAATTTATTTTGTATACTTTTAATAATAATAACATTGGTGCATAACATTTCCTTTTATTGTTTGGTAATTGCAATGGGGGCATATGTCCATTTCATAGTGTTTTACCAAGACCATGCTATTCTACCTGATGTTGGTCAAATGGCCCACAGCCTCTAAGCACAGTAGAGATCAGGAAGATATGGGTTCAGTCCAGCTGCAAATCCTGTCACTTGGTAGTGTTTCTTAACTCTTTGGACCTTAGACTCAATGTTTGTAAAAGTAGGATCACCTCATCTGTCTCACTGGGTTTTTAATAAGAATTAAATGGGGTGATTTTTATGAAGGTGCCTGATGTTGATAGGAGTTCAGTCAGTATTACTGTCCTTTCAGAGCTTAGACAAGAAGTGAGAAGCAGGGAGAAGGCTCTTTGCAGTCTTTTTTTCAGCTCTGACAATTTTTCTTAGTATAGTCTCCTCTCAGCTGGGAATATAAACCTGGTTGAAAAGGGTGATAGGGGCCTTGGTTGCTACTGCCAGTTAACATTAGCTCTGCTGTTGTCATGACAACATTGCCACCACTGCTCTAAGCACCAAGGAGAGGGGCAGGATAATGTTGTTTCTTTACCATTTATACTGGCCCCTTATCTTAGCACTCTGTCAGCTCTAACTGTTTAGATTACATTTCTGCCTGGACTCTTCTTTATGAGGTAATTTTCTGCAGCATGTATTTAGGACAGGAATGAGATCCCACAAAACTCTCTCAGCACAGCAGCACATCTCTGCCTTTATCCACTTGCCCAGAGGAATATAGCTCAGGGCCAAAATGATAATCAGATGGGAACTGGAAATAGGCTTGAGATTTTCTGTACTGCTTCTGAGAAAAATATTGCATCTCAGAAAAAAAACAAGAAATAAAAAATCTAGTTTATGTTGTACATTATCTGACACGTGTTTTCTCTTTTGCTCCAGGAATCCTCCATTTGGCGTCTGGAGTGGTGGATTTACTTCAGTTCTATTTCCCAGAATCTTTTGATCGCCTTCCAAGGGATTCTGGCCTCTTTGATGGCCCCAAACCAACTGTCCTGGAGTCTTGTAGTGTGAGCGACTTGGCAATTTTGTTAAGAGGAAACAAAAGGAAAACTCAGCCCATAGAATTTGGGGCCCACCAGGTGAGCTTCTTGGGATTTGATGTTTGAAATAAGAGGCAATTTGCAATTAAAAAAAAAAAAAAAAAGATGAAGAGTCTGAATTATTCTATGAGATAGAATTCAACAGTCCCTGTCCCAGAATAAGGAGCCCTGGTGATACATTGATAGTGCTCTTCTGCTAGCCAAAAAGTCACTAGTTTGAACCCACCAGCCACTTCATCGGAGAAAGATGTGGCAGTTTACTTCTGTAAAGATTTACACTATGGGGCAGTTCCGCCCTGTCCTTACAGGGTTGCTATGACTCAGAATCGGCTTGACAGCAGTGGGTTCAGTGTTTTGGTTTTGTCCCAGAATGGGTACCTGTTATAAATATTTCTGCTTGCCAAATCTATGCTGGCAACTTCTGTTTAAAGACATTACCTGCCTCCCATAGAAATAAGTTGAGTTTTACGAGGCTTCTTTTTGTAGAATTTGATGTTTTTTCTCCCTTACCTACTCTCCACATTCTTTTGCAGGTAATCCTTGTTGCCAATGAAATGGCAAAGGAAAAAATTCCAGAAGAGCTGGGGTTAGCACTCGTGCTAACAATTTATGAAGCAAAAGGCTTGGAATTTGATGATGTCCTCCTTTATAACTTTTTCACTGATTCTGAGGTATGTGATAATGAGTTCTTTTTACATAATGCATGTATATATGTGGGCTGCCCTTTCACTGAGGGGAATTGAATTTGGACCTGAGGATAAGAGAGTTTGCCACAGGTGCCTGTTTGTGTTTTAGAGTGTCTTCCATTAAGTGTGGGGTTTTATGTGTTTGACAGTGGCTGTGGGTTGTTTCACCATGTGTCATGGCCTGGTTCTCCTCGGGCCTTGCCCTTCCTTGCTTTCTTATATTAATCTTCTTCTTCATACCTGGTACCCAAGTGCCAGTTTCCAGTTTTCATTAGCTATTGTTATCCTTGGCTCCCAGGGATGCCCAAGTTGGAGCAAGCTGAAAGGAGGGCCTTACAAATGAAGGCAAGGTTAGCATTGTCCACCCTATGAGAACAGAACTGGGCAAGGTCAGTTCATAGAAAGAGACAGCACCAGGAAGACGAGTGTGATTTGGTTCCTGCTCATTGGATCAGGTAATATGGGGGATGAGAATGGCCACCCTGTGTGGGACCCCCTTCTAGCATGGCTTTACTACCACTGCTTGCAGCCCATGCAGACAACAGCAGCAGAAAAGTTCCTGGATTTACCCACAGTAACCTCTGTGCCAGCCCATTGTTTTAAGTTGGCTCCTGAGTCCTTGTGATGTTTTTTTTCTCCTCAAGTATAGTATGGTATGGGTAAAGCCACCAACTCAAGACCATTGTTGTCACTTTTCTGGCTATTGGCTTCTTTTCATCACCATCTTTTGTTGAACACTCAGGCTGTGCTGTGGAGTGTCCTTTGAGTACTTAACTGGCTGTGTCCTGTCCGTGTTGCAGACTTCCCATTACACATGGTGCATGCTTGAAGGGGCTGTTTTTTTATACTTAAGTCAGAAGCATTGTTGGCTTTGACACCTTGAAATCCGTTCTACAACTGATCCATTAAATTGAGTCCTTACATTTTTTCTGGTCATTCTTTCATGTCATATTTGCCTTAATAATACCTACAATTAATATTGCTATGGGTGCTTTACAGTTTATAAAGTACTTTTTGAATGTATTATCTCACTTCATTCTCCACCAACTCTCTGAGGTATGGTTTTTTTTTTTTAACCCTAATTCTGTAGTGGCAGAGGCTCATGGAGGTAAAGTAAATTGCCCATAGTCATAATGTAGGTGGCAAAACCTAGCGATGAACTTGGATTCTTTGGGTTCCAAATCTCATTATCTTTTCACTGTACACTCCTTCCTTTTAAACGCCTGCATGCAAATTGGCTTCCTGAGCCTTCTATGAGTAGTATATCATTGCCATACTTTATATACATTCCTTTTCTACTGACTTTTGCTGACAGATGTTGTTGTTGTTGTTATGTGCTGTTGAGTCAGACCTGACTCATAGTGACCCCTCTTTGGGTTTCCGAGGCAGTATCACTAAGGAAGTAGATTGCCCCATCTTCCTTCCGAGGAGTGGCTGGTGGGTTTGAACCGCCAGCCTTCCGGTTAGCAGTCAAGTGCCTTAGGCACTACGCTACCATATGCACCCTTATTAACCCTTTTTTAACCTCTGAAGACTAACTTTTTTTTTTTTTTTTCCTCATAATACATCTATTGGTCATGGTTGGACTGAAACTCTCCTAAAAGAGAAAGGGGTAAGACTTTGTTCCTCTAGTTCATTAAGTGCAAGTTGTACACTTGTGCCACTAAGAACCTGAAGGAGCTCTGGGTTTGTGGATCAGTAACTTGTGATTGGCTCTGCTTGAGCAAGAAGAATCCAGTTATTCATCTCACCTTGATCCTGGAAATTGCAGAGGCCCCATTATCCTGACCAAATGCTCTCACCAGTGGCTCAGTGAGTTGCATGAAATTAAAGCAATTACAAATTGAATATTCTGGTAGCATCCGCTTCTTACTAAATACACAGTAAGTCTCCTAAAAAGACTTTTGATGTGATGCTGTTATATATACCAGGGAAGATAATCAACCATGCCCTGACCAAGGATACTTCAGTTTATAGCTTAAAACCTCAAGATCAAGAAAGAGTCAGGCGGTAAGTGACAGGGAATGCTTTCATCAAGGGAGAGGAAAGACAGGTGACATATGTCCCCAGCTGCCATGGTCTGCCTGCTCATGTGGAGTTTTCTTCTGAGGTGAGTGGCTGAGAGCTGCTGAGTAGTGGTTGCTGTTGGACATGGCAGGAGAGCCACTGAGAGCTTCTCCCCGCTCCCACCACCTCTGCCTCGTTTTCCATCCCTTGTTTATGATTCAGAAAGGTATTCTCTTTGCAGCACCTGTCACCTGGACTTGTATGTGTCTGAGGTTCTTGATGCCCAGGTTTTCGAGTCTTCTTTTTAGAGAATTTTATTATCTGCTCAACGACATGGTTCCCAGGACCATCTTCTGAGATGGGGAAGGGACTTGGTTATACAAACTCTTCTCTTGTAAGATTTTACCTATTTTGGGGAGGTGGTAGTCATTCTCCTAGTCACCCCAAAACTATTATGAGGACGTGGACGGGTGCTTTGCCATTTCGCTGTACCCTGGAGATGAGTCCTTGGAAGCCAATGAATCTAACAGAGGGGACTTTGAAAAACACAACCTTTATGGGCTTTTAACTGACTTAGATAATAGACCCTTCAAAGGTAGGTTTTGCTAGCAGGGTTGCATTTTCCTTCACAGTTATTGATCCCAATAGAAGAAGCTGGAAGAGTTTCAGATGCTTTTGCTTTTATTGTCAGAAGTGCTGCAGGCTTTTATCCTTATCACAAAATACATGTGCTTATGCCTACAAGCTTCTGTCTTGAAAATAAAATGTTTTTCATTCATGGAAATAAGTCATTCATGTGCCATGTGAACAGCTTTTGCCTTTCATCCAGCAGTTTCAAAATACGTTATACTTCATGAAACTTTTCAAAGTCTGCCAGTATCAACCTCTGCTGTCTACCAGGAAGATCCTCTCAAATGTGAAACATTTATGTCTTTTGCTTTCTTTTCTTGGCAGACAGTCCAGTCACCTAAACACTTTACCAAAGTATAGGTATAATAAATATGTCCTGAAGATTTTTGTTAATCTTCTGCCTACTTAAATGATTACATGATTGACATCTGTTTTCAAAGCATGGTTGTTGATTCTATAATTGATTATTAGCACAGCCATGTGGTGTAGTACCTAAGGCATTTGACTGCTAACCAGAAGGCTGGTGGTTCAAACCCACCAGCCACTCCTTGGAAGGAAGATTGGGCAATCTACTTCAGTAGACACATTGCCTTGGAAACCCAAGGAGGGGTCACTATGAGTTGGTTCTGACTCAACGGCAGTGAGTTTGGTTTGGCTTAAAGCATTTAATAACTTAAACTTAAGTTATTTATAATTTAATATGTACAAAGTTTAAGTCATAGGGTAACTTAAAGTATTTAATCAACTGTACTTACTTCATCTTTTCAACATGCTTGAAACTGCCACAAAGGTGACAAGAGCACTTCAGCAGGTCTGCAAACCAAGCCCATAGACCAAATTTGGGACCTGTTTTTGTATGGTTTGTGGGCTAAGAAGGATTTTTAAAATTTTTAAGTAGTTAAAAAAAATGAAAAGAATAATGATGTTCTGTTGCACATGAAAATTATATGAAATTAAATTTTAGTGTCCTTGAAGTTTTATTGGCACATAGCCATACCCACTTAGTCGTGTGTTGTCTCTGGCTGCTTTTACACAACAGCAGAGTGGAGTAGTTGTAAGAGAGACCTCATGGCCACAAAGTTTAAGATACTTATTCTCTGGCCCTTGAAGCTTGAAGCTGAAGTGCCCAGATTAAATGGAATATTTAGAGTCCAGAATTCCCATGCAATTCCAGATCCCATACTTTAGTGGGTCTTGTGAGAGTAGTTTATTAACTCTGCTAGCCTTTATTTTTCTATTTACAAAATAGAAATGTTTGCCAATCACCGGTCTACAGTTAGGTTGGTTGGGGCCTTGGGTAAAGGAAAAGTGGGTAAAATATTAGCTATTTGTTACTCATTGTACTAGACATTTGATTATCTCCTTTTATTTTCCAAGAAAAGCCTGGGGAATTTTACAGAGCAGGAAAATGAAGTCTAGAAGAGCATAAACAATTTGTTGGAGGTTGCATAGCAAATAAGTAGAAGAACCAAGACATAAACTTGTTCTGACTTCAGAGTCTACTTTTAACACTATACCCCAGCTCCCCAGCTCCTGAATCTTCTTCTGTCCTTGCTTTATTGAATAACCTAGTTAGAAAATTCTGCCGTCTGTGTCTTAACTGCTGACACTAAGTAGCATCTCTTAACCATGGTGTGAAAAGGCAGAAATTCTTCAAGAAGCAGATTTGTTGTTGTTATGTGCCGTCGAGTTGAACCCGACTCATAGTGACTCCTCCTTGGGTTTCCAAGAAGCAGATAGTCAGATGGAGTAACTTCTTGGATCCTTAGTATTCTTGCTGAAAGTGGGTCCATTTGCCCAGCTTCTCAGTTGTCTTGACTAAGTGGGCAATTTTCACTGTAGATTCCCTGATCCTTGCCTGTGTATCCTAAACCCTCCTGTTCTATTCTGAGGCCACAAAATGACCATCTCCTCTCACTGGGGCTGAAGGCCTGCCCCCAATGCCAGGCAGAAGTAGGGCTCAGTTTTCTGAGGTTCAAGAACATTGTGTGTACAGTTCAGAATCATATTTTATTGGTCTTTAATTTGTCATTGTTGTTCAGGCTTACAAGGAATGGAAGATCATTTCTTCATTTACACCCGTATCGCCTGACTCCAGAGAGGAAAACAGGCCATTGATTGATGTACCCCTGGAAAAATTGAGCTCCTTGCAGGGTCGGTCTCTCATGCTGAATCCAGAAATGTACAAGGTGAATTTCAGCCATTTTCCCACACATTTATTTGACAGGAAACCAGTAAGCAAGGTTTATAAGAGAAGAGGAAATAAAAAAATGGAGCCTGGTACTTGGTGGGTCTCCCTTGAGGGATGTATGGGGAGAGGGTGCGAAGGGTAGAAAAGGAGGGGGATGGACCTTAGCATTGGAAAGCTCCCTTTTCTCAGCAGTGAACCACCTTGCCACTTTAATGGTTGGAGGTGCTGTCTGAAAGTGGAAAGGGGAGGATTGTACCTTCTTCTCATCTCTGGAACTCTGCTGCATTCAATTCTTAATCACATACTTTTTAAAATGATACACCCATGACTCTTCTGGGTCAGAGATTTTTAGGCATGGCTGACAGGGAACTCAGAAGTTCTGGACTACAGTTAGTTCAGACTGTTTTGTGGTGGCCTGAGCTTACTCACCTTAGTGATTTGGGGACCTGGCTTCTGTTTCTCTTTGCATCCCAGCTACATCACCAAGGAGGCTAAATTACAAAGTTTCTGTGGAGTTCTTGACAAAGGGAGATTGATTGGAGTGAATTGTCCATTATGTTAATGAGGCAAGATTAGGATGGGATGTATCTTGAGTCACTGCTTTACTAGAGGGTGTGACTCAAGTTACTACCCTTAGTTTCCTTGAAGGTGTGGCAGTTAAAGTTGTGTGTCAGCTTGGCTGGGCCTGGTTGAGAGGCTGGACAGCTGGATGTAGTTATTTCCCATGATAAGATTGGCAATCAGTTCCATGGTGGAATCTACTGGAGCAGCTGAGTAATTGCTTTAAAGATGTGGTCTGCTTCTAGTATATAAGAAGCAGCTTTGAGGAAGGTTTCTAGCTTTTTGGCATACCTGAACCCTACATGTAGCCAAATCGTTTTTCAGCAGCCTGCCATGCCCTGCCAATCTTGGGACTTTTTCTGGCCTTGAATTAGTGGCCTGCCATGTTGTTTGGTGATATTGGGACTGTGCCTTTTGACTTGTCGACCTTTGATTTGTCAGCCTCAGCAGCCAGAAGCTGCTTGAGTGAAGAAAAGCCTCCAGCTTTAGTGGGCTAGGAACAAGAGGCAGAGTAGTAGCCCAAAGTCAAGGGTCTTTCACCCAGCCCCTAGAGCCTGGCACTTTGAACTTGGACTTCTAACCTCCAAAATTGTAGGAGAATAAACTCCTGTTTGTTAAAGCCATCCTATATGTGGTCTGTTCCTCTCAGAGTGGCACTAGGTAACCAAATCTGAGGGTGTGTTTTGCATTCAATGTAAATGAAGGCTCTGGAAAAGTTCTCTCTCTTGTTCTGGATCCTGTGTCTTGTTCATCATCATCTGACCTTTGGTTCATGGGACTTGAGCCAGTAGCCTATCATCTGACCTGATTCACTAGCTTCTGCAGCCTTGTGAGCCAGGAGCCTATTGTCTGACTTGCCAGTTTGGGTTTGTCAGCCTCTACAACCACGTGAATGAGGAGAATCTTCCAGACTGATGTCTGACCCATGGATTTGGGACTTGGCCAGTCTCCGCAACTGTAGAGCCATATCCTTGGCAGTTCATGAGTTATGTGAGACATTACAAGAAATTACAGAACCCTAAGACAGGAAGGAAAGTACTGAAGGGAGGAAGAGTAGTTGATGTTAGAGATGATGGAGTGGTACGGCAGTTTGGAAAAGCTGGACATTTGGGACATCTTTAACCTCCACATCATAAGGACCAACCTTGTGCTGATTCTTCAAAAAGAAATTATTCATGCACATACAGAGTAGCTTTGACTATAATAGAATGAAGCTAGAAATCAACAACAGAAGGAAAACTGGGAAGTTCACAAATATTTGGGACTTAAACAAAACATTGTTAAATAACCAGTGGGTCAAAGAAGAAATCACAAGGGAAGTTAGATAATACTTAGAGACTAATAAAAATGAAAGCAAAATGTACCAAAACTTACGGGATGCAGTAAATGCAATGCTCAGAGAAAAATTTATAGGTGATTCTTATGTAACTGTAACAGTTGTGGCTAGCTAATTGGAAATTTGTTTATGTAAGAATCACCTGGGGATCTGCAAGAATCACCTGGAGCTCTTGTTAAAATGTAGATTCTTAGTATATTTGGGGTGGAAATGCAGGTTGTCAGCAGGGGGCTGAACCAAAATGAACCAGTTCATCTTGTCATCAAAGTGACATTTGCTTTTTAAAACTGTAAAGAGGTCTTTTGTAGCATATTTGCCTGATGCAAAATGTCATGTGATTTCTTGACTGCTATTTCCATGGACACTTGATTGTTGATTCAAATGGAATTAATGGTTGACAACTTCCATTTTTCCTCCATTTATCCTGATGTTTATTGGCCTAGTTGTGATTATTTTTGTCTTCTTTTGTTCAGGTGTAATCCACACTAAGAGCTGTAGTCTTTTACCTTCATCAGCAAATTCTTCAAGTTGTCTTGATTTTCAGCAAGCAAGGTTATGTCATCTGTGTATTTCAGGTTGCTAATGAGACTTCCTCCTATCCTATAGCCACATTTTTCTTCATGTGGATCTTGATCAAAAGCAGAGAATACCCAAAAGATGTTTATGTGTTTTCAAAATAGCTATACAAAGAAAACTACAAAATACTACTACAAGAAACCAAAAGATACCTACATAAATGGAAGATTGTGCCATGCTCATGGATAGGAAGACCTAACCTTGTAAAAATGACAATACACCCAAAGCAATCTGCAGATAAACTGCAGTTCTGATGCAGATTCTATCAGATGGAAAAGCTAATTACCAACATTTTATGGAAAGGAAAGAGACCCTGGATAAGGCAAGCACTACTAAAGAAGAAGAAGAACAAAGTAGGTGGTCTCACATTCCCCAATCTCAAAACCTTCTCTACAGACGTGGTAGTCAAAACAGCCTGGTATTGGTACAATGACAGATATGTAGACCAATGCAACAGAATTGAGAACCTAGAAGTAAATCTACCTATGGACAGCTGATCTTTGAAAAAGTGATGATACCCATTAAATGGGAAGAGATAGTCTCTTTAACAAATGGGGCTGGCAAAATTGGATATACATTTGCAGAAAGGTGAAACAGGATCCACATCTCACACCACAAAAACTAACTCTAGATGGATCAAAAACCTAAATGTAAAACCCCAAACCATAAAGAACATCAAAGAAATAATAGGGGCAAACTTAGGGCCCCTAATACATGGCAAAAATAAACTATCAAACATAAATAAAAATGCACAAACAGCAGAAGACAAGCTATATGACTGGGGTCTCCTGAAAATAACAACAACAACAACAACATGCACCAAAAGACTTCGTGAAAAAAATAAAAAGAGAACCTACAGACTGTGGAAAATTTTTTTGGCAATGATGTATCGGACAAGGGACTAATCCCCAAAATTTATAGAAAACTTCAGCACCTCAACAAAAAAAGACAAGCAACCCAATGTAAAAAATGGCAGAGGACATGAACAGATATTTCACCAAAGAAGATACTTAGGCAACTAACACACACATGAAGAAATACTTGCAATTATTAGCCATTAGAGAGATGCAAATCAAAATAAGATATCATCTGACCCCAACATTAATAGCAAAATTGAGAAAACAGAAACCAACAAATGCTGGTGAATGTGTGGAGAGACTGGAATGCTCATATGCTGCTGTAAAATGGTACAACCACTGTGGAAAGCAGTATGGTGCTTCCTTAAGAAGTTGGAAATAGAAATACCGTATGATCCAGCAATCCCACTACTAGACATATGTCCTAGAGAAATAAGAGCTGTGACACAAACAGTTATGTGCACCCACGTACATCAAAACATTATTCATAAAAGCAAAATGATGGAAACAACTTAAGTGCCAGTCAGCAGATGAATGGACCAACAAGCTATGGTACATACACACAATGGAATACTACATATCATTAAAGAATAATGAGGACATTATGCTGAGTGAAATTAGTCAATCCTAAAAGGACAATTATTGTATGAGACCACTACTGTAAAAAGTTAAGAAAAGGTTTACCTACAGAAAGAATTGTTCTTTAAAGGTTACCAGAGATGAGAGGGAAAACCGCCAACTACAGGGTAGACAAGAATTAACTTGGGTGAAGGGAAAGGCAATATACGATAAGGGGGAGGCCAGCACAAAATCATCAAGGCAGAGGAAGAGGCAGGGAGGAGTACAAGCGTTAAAGGCAGCAAAGGTGGATATTATTATGTACACAATCCTGCAAGAATAGTAATAACAATAATTTATGAGAGGATGCATAGACACTCAGTCTAAACAGGGATTGAAAGACTAATGGAATGACGCACATGAATGTACATAGGTTGCAGAGGGTATCTCTACCACTCGTCTGTCAGTTTGTCATATTGTGGTATTTGTATAATGCTGTGAGGCTGGAGGCTACAACACAGGTATTTCAAATACCAGCAGGGTTACCCATGGTGGACAGGTTTCAGTGGTGCTTCCAGGCTAAAACAGACTGGGAAAAAGGACAGGGCCATCCACTTCTGAAAAAATTGGCCAGTGAAAACCTTTTGAATAGCAGTGAAACACTGTCTGATATATTACTGGAAAATTTTACGGATAGCCCTGAAACATTGTCTGAAGCTAACTGAATTTTACACTTTACATGGTTAAAATTGTGAATTTCATGGCATGTATAATTTACAACAGAAAGAAAAATGAGTTACAGCAATTATGTAAGAGGTAGCCATTGCAATAACCTGGCTGAAGGATGCATGGGAATTTATGATAACACTCTACTATTTTTGTAATTTTCTGTGAATCTGTAATTATTTCAAAATAGAGTTAAAAAGAATTATAGCAGATTCAAGAGTGGTCCTGCTCACTTTCTTTTTAAGTGGGAGAGGGAAAGGAGTGGTGTTTTTCAGAGCTCTACTTATTTGTCTGTTCTGCAGCCATGAGGTACTCATGTCCCATTCAGAGTTTGGCTATCCTCTAAAATTTTCTTTCTGTATTTTTTTCAAAATCAGTAAGCCCATTGAATGTGTCATATTGTAGCTATTGACCACAGGCTACATCTGTCTTCAATCTTACCTTTAGCTCCTCAACGGAGAGCTGAAGCAGTTATACACTGCCATCACACGGGCTCGAGTCAACCTCTGGATCTTTGATGAAAACCGAGAGAAGCGAGCTCCTGCTTTCAAATACTTCATCAAAAGAGATTTTGTCCAAGTTGTGAAGACAGATGAAAATAAAGGTAAAATATCATTAAAATGTTTTCACTGTTGAATGGGAAGCATGTTTCTCAGCTGTTGTTATGGTGAGGTATAAAGCACATTCTTTTCTTCCTCACAGTCTTCTGAGGAATGAGAGTTCTTACTCATTTGCCAGGTGTCTGGGAGAGTGTGGTTGTAATGGAATTAGGAGGGCTAATTCCTTCAGAGAGAATCTTTTATTCTTCCTTTAAAAGTGAGTGTTATGGGCAAGGTGAGAGGAAATATACACTGTTTGGAGAACATAAAGTGCTATGAGCGTTTTTAAAAATTGTGGTGAACTGGTGGGGGAGAAGATGGTGTCTTACCTGTAGCCTACACATTAGTTCCCTCTAGCATCTTAATACCTAAAAACCTAGGTGCAGCAGTTTGAAGTGGTGATTCGGGAGCTCTGAACAGCTCATTAAGTCAGAGAAGGCCAAACTCAGGGGAGTAGGAAAAGAAAGGAGGGAAAGGCAGTGTAAACAGCCAGAAAGAATAAAAATAAATGAACCTGCCCTGCGGAGCACCGACTGGCTGGTGAGATGGGGCATTGGCGGGCTCCCTGGGGCAGCGGAGAGAATGCACCAGAGGGCCTGCAGCCACTCCACAGATCTACCTTCAGAACCCGCTTTTTCTGTAAAATTGGGACCATTGAGAAGGCAGCATTTCTGAGAAATGGAGCAGAGACCCCCTCCGGCTCTAGGTGCCACTGAATTGGGAGCAGAGAGGGAAGCACACTGCAGGTGGGTGGGCCCTGGGACAGACTTGTGGTGCGGGTCAGTGCAGCTATTCCAGGACAGCTTTTTGGCAAGGAGGGGCTTGAAGTACAGCGTTTTTGTGGCTTTCTGAACTTGACAGAAAGTGGCAGCCCCCTAACCATTGGGGTCTTTGCCAAACTTGAGCTGTGGGCCTGTGAGTAACTATATAACGTCATCATTAGCAGCCTACTCAAAGCCCTGGAAACAGCTACAGGTGCCTTGGAGCTTTTTTTCTCTTTTCTTTCCCCACCTCTCCCCTGACTCATCCAATAGAAAAACCACATTAAGCCATCACAACACTTGCCAGCTTGAATCCTAAACCCCCTTCACTACGAAAAGAGACCTGCATCCACATTCCACAGAGTGATTCCATCACCACAAAGAAAGCTGCAGAGCAACCCAGAACACCTGAATTAATAACGAAACAAATAAAATAACACCAGCTCCACCTTTGCAAAAATATTAAATCATAAAATCAAGACAAAACAAATCAATACGTAACTAATAGTTAAAGACAACTTCAAAACAACAGGTAACCTCAAAAAAAAAAAAAAAAAAAAAAAAAAACACAGGATAAGACATTAGAAATAAAATCCCAAACAAAAGTCCTATAAAACATGGAGGAAGAAGAGGCAATAGAATTACCTGAGAAGGAATTTAGAAGGTATGTTTATAGAACTCTACAAGAGCTTAAGGAAACCCCAAACAGAACCAAGGAGAATATGGAGAGTACCCTGGAAGAACTCAGGAAAACCATTCAAGAACAAAATAACAAGATTAATACACAATCAGAACTCATACAAAAACAGCACTTAGAAATCCAAAAGATGAATATCAAAATTACAGAATTACACAACATAGTGGAAGCACAAAAGAATAGGCTAGAACTGGCTGAAGAACACATTTCCCAACTAGAAGATAAATCCCTGGACACCAGCCTGTATGAAGAAGAATCAGAACAAAGATTTAAGAGAAATGAAGAGAACCTAAGAGTTATATGGGATGACATGAAAAGAAACAACATATGCCTCATTGGAATTCCAGAACAAAAAGAGATGAAAAACCACTGAGAAAATTGTGGAACACTTACTAACAGAAAAATTTCCCCATATCATGAAGGAAGAAAAGATATTTGTCCAAGAAGCTCAAAGAACTCCATACAGGATAGATCCCAAGAGAAAAACACCGAGGAATATCATAATAAAACTCTCCAAAGCCAAAGACAAAGAAAGAATCTTGCAAGCTGCCCAGGAGAAAAGAAATATCACTTCTAATAATCAAACAGTTAGGCTGAGTTCGGATTACTCAGCAGAAACCATACAGGCAAGAAGGCAGTGAGACAACATGTATAAAACACTTAAGGAAAAGAACTTCCAACCAAGAATCCTATAACCAGCCAAACTGTCCATCACAATGAGGGTGAAATCGAGACATTGTTAGACAAATAGAAATTAAGGAAGTTTGTGAAAACCAGACCAACCCTATAAGAAATGCTTAAGGAAGTCCTTCCAATAGAGAACCCACAACAGAGAACAACAAAATCAGGACACATGACATCAATACTAAAACCAAATCAGAAGTAGATGCTCAAAATAAGACCATAAAACATAGTACGCTAAAAAACAAGGACGTCAATCTGCACACGACAACAGCAACTAACCAAATAGAGGGAATAAAAGTTTTAGGTACAAAACTTCCAAATAGAGAGGAAAACAGGACAATGTCCTCATAGATTAGACTGTTCCAAATATACAGACAAGAATTCACTGAAAGGTAACCACAGAGAAAATTAACAATCCTGCTAGGCAATCTATTTCCATAGTGATACTGCCTTGGAAACCCAAGGAGGGGGTCGATGTGAGTTGGGTCTGACTTGATGGCACATAACAACAACAACAAGCAAATCCAAAGGAAGAGAAAGAAACGTATGGGTTTAGTGAGCACAAAACCAACAATAAAGAAGAAAAGAGAGGAAACACTTGACAACAAAATGAACTCAGCACAGAAAAGTATATGGACCAAGGAAACTCCAACAACATGACAAAAAACACACACAATAGAATGACAGCAATCAGTTCATACCTATCACTAATTACACTCAATGTGAATGGACTACATGCACCAATCAAGAGAAAGAGAGTGGCAGCCTGGATAAGAAAAGAAGACCCATTTTTATGCTGCCTACAAGAGATGCACCTTAGACACAAAGATAAAAACAAATTAAAAGTTAAGGGGTGGAAAAAAATATACCAAGCCAATGATAACCCAAAGAGCAGGAGTGGCAATATTAATTTCTGATAAAATAGACTTCAAAGTGAAAAAAAAAAAAAAAGAAACAAAGAAGGTCACTATATGATGTTGAAAGGGTCAATTGACCAGGATATTATGGTAATAAATACCTATGCACCTAATGAAAGTACTTCAAAATACATGAAGCAAATACTAATTGAATTGAAAGGGAAAATAGACAACTCTATAATACTAGTGGGAGACTTTAACATACCACTTTCAAGGAGGGACAGATCAACTAGAAAAAAACTCAATAAAGATACAGAAGAACTCGGCAACACGATCAACTGACTCCACTTTGTAGACATATACAAAGCACTCCACCCAACAAAAGCATAATTCACATTCTTCTCCAATGAACATGGGTTCTTTTCTAGAATAGATCATGTGTTAGGATGTAAAACAAGCCTCAATAAATTAAAAAACACTGAAATACTACAAAACATCTTTTCAGACCACAGTGCTGTATAATTAGAAATCAATAGTAGAAAGATCAGGGAAAAAATCACACATGTGGAAGCTGAACAATACACTGCTCAAAATAATAATATAATAGAAGAAATAAGAAGTGAAATAATAAAATTCCTAGAACAAACAAGAATGAAGATACATCTTACCAAAGCCTATGGGACAGAGCAAAAGCAGTACTCAGAGGTCAGTGTATAGCAATAAATGCATACATCAAAAAAGAAGAAAGAAACTAAACCACCTTTAACTCAACAACTCCAACAATTAGAAAAAGAACAACAAAAGAATCCTATAGTATCTAAAAGTATGGAAATGATAAATATCAGAGCAGAAATAAATGAAACAGGAAACAAAAAAACAAAATCAATAAAATAAGAAGCTGGTTCTTCAAAAAGATTAACAAAATTGACAAATCTAACAAAAGAAAAGAAAGAGAGATGCAAATTATAAGCATAGTAAATTAAAAAGGTGTCTTTATAACCAAACCAACCGAAATAAAAAAGATACAAAATATTATGAAAAACTGTACTCCAACAGATTTGAGAACCTGTAAGAGATGCATAAGTTTCTGGAATCACAAGACCTACCTAAACTATCCCACTTAGATACAGAATACCTGAACAGACCCATTTTGTTGTTGTTATGTGCCGTCAGGTTGGACCCGACTCATAGCGACCCCTCCTTGGGTTTCCGAGGCAGTATCGCTACGAAAGTAGATTGCCCCACAGACCCATACAAAGGAAGAAATAGAACAGGTCATTAAAAAAAAAAAAAAAAATTCCCTCAAGAAAAAGTCCTGGTTCTGATGGGTTCACTGGAGAATTTTACCAAATATTCAGGCAACAGTTGACACCTATACTACTCAACCTATTCCAGAACATAGAAAAACATGGAATACTCCCAAACTCATTTTAGGAAGCAAGCATAACACTAATACCAAAACCAGAGAAAGATACCACTAAAAAGGAAAACTACAGACCAATACCCCTCATGAACATAGATGCAAATATCTTCAACAAAATTCTAGGCAACAGAATCCAACAACATATCAAAAAAATAATACATCCTGACCAAGTGGGATTCATACCTGGTATGCAAAGGGGTTCAACATCAGAAAAACAATCAATGTAATCCACCACATAAAACAAAACAAAGGAACCATATGACCATATCAGTCGATGCAGATAAGGTATTTGATAAAATACCATACCTGTTCCTATTCAGAACTCTCAGCAAAATAGGGATAGAAGGGAAATGCCTCAATGTAATAAAGGGCATATAGGCAAAACCAGTGACCAACATTATTATTAATGGAGAAAGACTCAAAGCATTCCCCTTACTAATGGGAACCAGACAGGGATGCCCTCTATCACCACTTCTATTTAAAATTGTATTGGAAGTCCTAACCAGGACAATAAGGCAAGAAAGAGAAATGAAAGGCATCCAAATTGGCAAAAAGAAAGTAAAGCTATCTCTATTTGTGGATG